TATGCAGTATCCTTGTAGCAGATAAAAGCTTTCTTGTTACTTGTCTCTGTAACACCACAGATAACCACCCACCTCCGTGGCATGACAGGTTTTTATGCCATGTGGTCAGTCAGGGCATGCTCTGTGCTGTGCCCACTGCTTGTGGTTGTAACTCCTTGCTGATCAGGAGCAGGCAGCCTTAAGAGGAAGGGTGCTTGCTGTGACTCGGTCCGAGTGTGGTGTGTGGCCATGCATAGCCATGCATGAAAAAAATGTGAAGATGGCGAGGCAGTGCTGCCTGGGTGCCAGGCTCCCAGGGCCCTTGCTCTTCTGCACAGAGTGGAGTCTCAGGAGCTGACCAGAGCTGCCCCGACTTCCAGCTCCCAGCTTTCTGGAGGCGCCTGGTGGGAGGTGAAGGACAGTTCCAGCGTTCCCCGCCGGGGACAAGCCTGGCAGATTGCCTTCTGGCCCCTTTGTGTGCTGGTTAGTACTTGGAGTTTTCTAAAGGAGTGGCCATGCCTGTAGAGGGCCCTCTGTTTCAGCTTCGGAGGTGTATTTTATTTTATTTTATTGAGAAACAAATAGCAATGAGACAGTTTCAAAACCGATTAATAGAACAGTTTCAATAATTAATACATTGCATATTGTTGTCTTCGTAGTTGTTATTCTTAGTATAAGATGCAGACATGATATCCTGTCCAAACACTATTAGTACAAATCTTTCTTCTCATTGAACTAAGAGAAAATAGCTGTGTATCTATCCTAACTATTTTGTGTATACAGATACAAAATGGTCCTTAGATCCCAAAAGATTTCAGGTATTGGCGAAGTTAAAAAAGAAATATATTCTCGCATTATGCTTCTTAAAGAGTAGAAGCAAGGATTTAATGTCGAACTCCTGTGAATTCTTGAAACAAATCAGGTATCTCTTGCGTGAATTGTAAGTTAGATTTTTATTGTTGTATGGATAAAGGTTAATTTATTTAAAAAATCTCTTCTTGAATCCTTTGTGGTGGATGCAGTGCAGTCCCCTGAAGTAAGATGCCTCTGTCTTTCCTTTGCCATGGTAGTGTAACTTTATTGTGAAGAAATGAGTCACTGGCTCTAAGTATTGTCTGATCTGTACAGTCAGAGCAGGGTCTGTGTCCAGCACTTTCCCAGCTCATCTTGGAGCCTGGGAAACCCCACAGGAGGGGCGAGTGGCGTGAGCACCTGGGCCAGCCTGAGCGGCACCGTGCCTGGGACTCAATAATTGGTGTTTTCTGAGACTCTCGTCATGCCAGTATTTAACAGAGACGGTAGCACCCACCTCATAGGGTCTGTAAAGATGTAATAGGATAAGGTGTAAGCGTATCTGTAAGTTTTTGTGGTGGCTTGTCATGAAGAGCAGCATGGAGCCAGGCACCGCAGCACTCGGTAGTTTGAGGCAGGTGGATGGCAAATTTGAGCTTTGCCTGGACTTTACTGACTTAATGAGACCCTGCCTCAATATAAAAAAATGAAAAGAGAGTTGTGGTTGTTGTTCATTGTGAAGGCCTTGGGTTCAGTCTCTACTACCACACACATACATGCGCGCACACAAATGCACGTGCATACACACGCACGCACACACACACGTACACAGGCACAAAATGGTTGCTCCTGTTCTCAGCCTCCCCAGCGCTGGGATTACAGGTGTGCAACAGCACGCTGAGTCCCAGTGGCTGGTTCAGCACACCTGGGGTAGGGTGGGGCCAGCTCGGCATGTGGTGCCCAGGATCGAACCTGGGTCCTTGCACTTACTTAAGCAGGCACTTAGTCTGCTGAGCTATCTCACCGGCCCTTACGCAGTTTCATAAGTGAAGTGCAAAGGAGAAAATTTCCCCAAAGTTCCGTGTGGCTCAGGGCCTTTTATCTAGTACGTTATTTTGTTGTTTGAGCCAGGCTTCCTCGGCTGTTCTAACACTGCAGACACTGCAGTGTTAAGAGCACCTCGTGAGGGGGGTCGCTGCCCTGCCTGGGCTCCGGGGCTGCTTGGGCGCTGTGTGGCCCGCAGGGCCCCATCGAGCTCCAGACAGGTGCTGAGTGCGAGTTCTCATTTGGACCTTGTACATCTGCATGTGTCTCCACCCTCTGCAACCCAAGTTAGCAGGCAGGATGGAAGGCTCTGGTTTTTCTGCATGTGAGGGACTCAGATTATGACGCAGTGGGCATCTGAGTAGGGGAGAGGCCGTCATCTGTAAAAAGCGACCAACTAGGAAGCTGTAGGAGAGCAGAAGGTGTGGAAGAGGGCCTTGGCTGAGCGTGTCTTTAAAGCCTGCTCTGCCAGAATAAGTCGCCTTTGCTGCGCTCTAGAGCCTTCCTGCTGTAGCAGTGCCTCTTTTGGAAGCCGTCTGTTACCCTCTAACAGTTCTCTGTCATTCCCTAGGTATTACTTCAGTTTGATAGGGAGTGAGCCACCGTTCCAGGCTCTGGAAAGATGAGCAGTTGGGAGTCTTTCTGGTGAGCAGGTCTGCAGGGACACACTGCGCACGCGACAATCACGGCCCGGGCCCTGGGGCTGCTGCAGGGACACACTGCGCACACAGCAGTCACAGCCTGGGCCCTGGGCCGCCGCAGGGACACACTGCGCACACAGCAGTCATGGCCCGGGCCCTGGGCCGCC